CTCTAAGCCCTATAGGCCCTAAACCTCGGTCTACGCTTCCAGCTTTGGTCCGAGAATCCGGTCGGAAAGCTACCTCTAGGTCCCTCAGCAGCTGCAGCGCTTGCTGCCACTGCTTCCCTTTCCTCAGCTCTGCCATGCTACGGCGTATGACTCAGAGATGAAATCCCAAACTCAGAGTGCTAAGCTATGACCTGACGCCTTCAACCCTAAACCCTGAACCCTTCACCCTACTGTAAACCCTAAACCCCACCGGAAAAAATCCACAAAACAGGGGGGGTTGCATTGGGGACTACACAGGGATAGTATTACTGACTACATTCAACCCCTATACTAAATAAGTCTGAGGGTCAGGAAACAGACGGAAGCAGTGGAGACCGGAGGCGGATTGAAGGGCTGGATACGCGTCTTTTCTTCAAGTAAATGATGGTTGTTGAAACGTTCTACAGGGTCATGGAAACCCTGTTAAGCTTTTTGAGGCCGCCTTGAACCCTCATGCCCCCTTTGGAGCAAAGCTTCTCGCACGCGCTGATGGCCACGTTGACGAACCTGCGACATCGACTCCCAAAACGGGTCCTACGCACCTACAGAGTAGTAGATTGTAGCAGTATCTAGGACCCTTTTGAACTGACAAGGCGCTGGGATACAAACCCCAAAACGGACGTACCTGGCCGGCGCCGGCTACAAGCGTAGACAGGTGCCGAAAGAGTACTCAAATCAAAACACGTGCAAAAGAAGCATTCAACAGAAACATAGTCTTCGACCTGTTCAAGTTCATGAACTCGTATAAGGACGAGACCCCTGCTCGCTGTCCAAACCACTCCTTGAGATGTAAAGTGCTCGGAAGCACAATTCAATCTGGGCCGTTTGTCGATGTCTGGTGTTCGACCATTTGCAAAATGCAGAGAGGTTATTTCGAGCCTAGAAGCAGGCAAGATTACATTCCAAGTCTCATCACACTCGCACGGTCGCCATATTGATCGGGGTACCTAAACCCTAAACCTGACGCCTCAACCTCAACCCTAAACGCTACAACCCTTCACCCCTAAATCCTACAGATGCTAAGCATGAATAGCCTCAGGCATGCAGTGACACTGGGAGATTTCTCGGCGCCTCGAGTTCCAGACGTAATCTCGGTAAGGCCCGCATATGACAGGGCCTAGTTAGCTGTAGCTGTATGCCTGAGTATATATTACAATACATAATCCATATATATATATATATATATATCCATACGCACACACACACATGCATGCATACATGCATATTCTGTATACATATGTATTTGTATGTCCACTTCTGCATCCCGTTTGTTCAAAAGCCGAATAAGGCTCCCGGCCATGAACTCTGATCCGAAATTGTCTGAACTTTGCAGCTTCGCGAGCTTTTTGGAAAGGAAAGTTTCGGGTATAGGGTTTAAGCTTTAGGGTTTACAAAGGCTTCAGGTTTACCTAACCCCCCCCAAAAAACAAAAAAACAGGTACGAAACTGACCCAGCACCTATAAACGGCGATGATTCTGCGTAAGTAGTTTTGGGGTCCGGGTAAGGTTCAGGGTTTCAGGCTTCGAGGTTCAGGATCAAGTTTCCGGGTTTTTGTCCTTGGGGTTTCGGGGCTTGCGCAGGTTTAAGGTTGGTTTAAGGGTTTAGGGTTTGGGGCATGCCTGGAAGCACCGGCACGGCGAGACAATGGTCCAAGTCAAACCTAGATGTCAAAAACATCGCTGGCTCTTTGAGCTCAGTGGCGCCACGTTTGGAAGAAGCTGCCTGGATTCCAGCTCAGAAAGCAGCGTCAGGGCATGTTGCCACTGGATCCTCCTGAAATGTAAAATCAAGCAGAATGCCGGAAACAGCGAAACGGCGCCAAAGGAGGGTCTGGGTGCCTTCGACTGACCATGCTGACATGGAAGACAAGTCCTAACATGCTGCAAACTTCAAAACCCCGAAACCAAGCCAAATACGGTCCAGAGAGAGCACGACCTTGGCCGGAAGAGCGGGTAAATCAGTGGAAGCGTTTGCAGCTTGTTGGCTTTTGACTGTTTCCACCTGCAAGATCAGAAGACAGATTGAGAGAGAAAGAGAAAGCGATACAGCGACAGACCCAAACTCTAAACCTGAAACCCTGAAACCTGAATCCTAAACTTTAAACCCTAAACCCTAAACCCTACGTTTGAGGCTTCAAGGTTGTGGAAGCAAGCCAGAACGCCATAACGGAGAGCGAATGAATATCCTCAGCGAGGCAGAGTCCCGAGAACCATCAGCCCCATTCGTCGCCCGAAGAGGCGACAGTGTCAATACTTCGAGATGTCTATGAGACCTTCTAGCCTATCTACAGCCCGTGACCTAAGCATTCACCCTGGGTCTTGATGCAAATTTACGGCCCCGGACCCACGAGTCACAGCACTCGGTGTCCTCCCACACGCTGCGATGGCCTGGATGGTGGTGGTTGGGAAAGACGTCCGAGGGTTGGGCGGTTAAGGCGTTCCGTTTGATTCAGATTGAAGTGTCTGGGGCTTATAAGGTTTAGGGTTAGTGAGGGTTTGGGGGGTTTAAGGGTTATGGGTTTGGGGTTTAGGCTTGGTCGGGTCACAGAAAACTGCATCCCAAAAGAAAGACTCTGGGATCAAAAGCTACACTTTGTTTCCGGGCCCCCGTTGAGTGCACGGCTCACGGCTTTGGGATCTATACCCTTGCCGGGGGGCACCCTGAACATACGTGCGGGTGTGAGCGTGTGTTGGTCCGTAACATATCATAGGAAAAGACACACACACACACACAAACACACGCCCGCGCGCAAACCTCAGCCTAGCGCATGCGTGCAATGCTTTTGGCCTCAAACCCCAGACCCTGGATAATCCTGCAGGTTTATACTTTCAAGACATCTTGAGGTACTTTAAGACATTCCAAGATATTTTCCAAGGTGTCAACCTTAAACATTGAACCTTGAAACAAAACACCCATAAACCCTAAACCCTGAACTCAATACAACCTCAAAGGATTCCTTTTCCCCAACCCTGAAGACTGCCATGGCTGGCCCGCCTTGCAGTATTCGCCAGGACTCTGTTTTGCCATTGCGATGGTGCCAGCATGTGCCAAGAGCACAGGGCATAGGGAGGGTTTAGGGCTTAGCGCAAGGCATTGTCACAAGAGGGTTTTCTGGAGGTTTAGATGAATTTACGGGTCAGGGTTGGAGGAATAGGGTTTGCGGTCGAAGGCTTAACGGCCTATGGGCCTTGATCATGATGGTCTCAGGGCTGTTTGCATAAACCCCAAAGCCTGAAACCGGAAAAGTAAGTTGCAACTCGTGCACCCTAAACCTGTGATACATCAGAGCCCCAAAAGCCCCAACACAACCTGGATTCTAAAATCGGCTTTGGGGTCTCAAACTAGCGTCTACAATTTATTACTTTCTGAGAAACCTCACTTCTTCTCGTCCTCCCTGCGGCTCCAACTGCTTAAGTACTATCTTGGGGTCTACACCCTGTCATTGATTAACGGGGTCAGGAGCTACTGTCTTGGCAAGTTTAATACCAAAAACGCAGCACGCAAACAGTGTCAGCCGACCTCCGGCACTGCGTCACACCGTATCAAGGAGGTAGGGTAGGTGCAGTAGGCGAAGGCGAATATGCCATACGGCCATGCAGTGGATCTGGGTGGCCTGTGAGTATCAGGTCTCTCCTGATACTGGCAGGAGCGCTTCTGTGCTGGAAGTTGGAAGGATACACCAGCAAACTGCATAATCACAGTTTCCTTGTGATTGATCTGTTACAGGTCTTGAAGGGAAGAGGGCTGGAAGCGTTCTCCGTGCACTGACTTCGTGGATGCCATGTCCGAGCACAAAAGATGAGGTGATGCAACAAAAATCGGTATTCTGTCTTATTTTCACCAGTGAACCTGTGAGTTCCAACTTTTCCTGACACTGGCAGATGGAAAGGACAAACAAACTCTGTAACAACAATTTCCCGTGATTTGGATCAATTGATTGATGGTCTTGAAAGACGTGATATTGCAAGCTTGCGCAGACTTCGGAGATGCTGAGATAAATCAAAGATGACGCACGATAACTAAGTTGCGTGCCTTCTGTTGAAACGCTTTGCCAAGGGTCTTGACGGGAAAATGTGCAGAGCCTCCAAGGCTTGCGCTCTTGCTGCAACATTTTGAACATCCATAGACCTCAAAGGGCCCCATATAACCTTTGAGAACCGCCCAACAGAAAACCGTAATTGGAGAACAAGCCTTCGCAAACTTTGTATACATATGGTTTTAGATTCCAGACGTGAGCCTATACCGATGCTATCCGATGCTTATGAGCCATGCAGCGACATTGTTTGCCGACATGACTCGTCTCAAACGTACAGCTGGGAATCGACACTCAGTTCTGGAAACTGCGACGACTCGAACATTGCATTGCTCCTGAGGTCGTGAGCTCGGCTGGTAGGACAGGCATATCCGATTTGACATGCGCAAACGCAAAGCCTTGCTCTCCCGCCTCAGGGATGGCAGAAGGCGTTGAAGCCTGCGAGGCCACGCCGTCGCTAAGAAGCCGCCCAGCCCCTTGGCTTTGGAGAGTTCACGGTTTCGGAGTCCGAGATGGGGTCTTGCGATCCCCTTGGAACACACCGGCGACTTCCGATGCTGGCGAATGTTTCTTGCGGTCGTTGCACGTTGACCCGGGCGGTGCGTGTGAAGGAGGACAGATGAAACTGTTCGCCAGGGTCGCAGGGGCGTCCGTCGTCATCACGACCGTTGCCTCGCTGAACCGGTGGACAACTCTCAAGAGACTCTGACGCAGAAACATCCGATTGGATCTGTCGACAAAGCTTGGACATCTTTTCTTCACTGCAGCCACGAACCCTGTGAGCCGCGGTGACATCCGCGAACTCCAGGTCATTCCACGGGTGCCCAAGCCGCCGTCCGGAACGGGTGAATTTGGATGGTTCACGAAAGAGTTGCCGGCAACTGTATGTCGTGCTCCCATTGCAGAACCGACTCCATCGGTAGCGCGACCATTGTATGCTCCTGCATCGACGACATCGGGTCAACGGCTCAGATTACGCAGCCACTCGAGCCAGGGTCAGGGCGGCGGGGTCAGAACATAATATAACATGTCTTAATATGAAATATCATAATATAATATAGTGGGGCACCTTCACTCACTATACCTCACGCAAGCTGGATGCTGCTTGACTCTCTGCTCGTTCATGACCCTGCCCAAGATGCATTTCCACAGTGTATGTCCCCACCCAGCAAAGACTCTTCGTAAGAATCGCATCAGCCCTCCCCCTCGTTCAATCCAGAGTTCATGGTTTATTTTGGGAATTATGATGATCTATGTAGGGCATATAGGTGTTCAGTGCACAAAGCTTGTTATACTGATGTCTGTTCGTTTATTTTTCAGGATGCGACTGATGTTACCCCTGCTTTCGCTCCAACTTGTTTTGTAGCGGGCCTGTTGCATCTGTTACATGTAGCCTGCCGCGTACCACACTCACATACATGTCTTGGAAATCTCACCCTAACTTCTGCGAAACAACTGCGGGCCGACCTTCAGAGGAAAAAA